CAACCAAACAAAAGCGACCTGTGCCACCCTTTCACCCCTTTTCACCCCCATCAGTCAGCTTTGCGCCGCTCTTACGTAATAATACTCCGACTTATATCTACCTATACTGGATTGATCGAGCTTGCGTGAACGTGTGATCCTGTGTCGAGGAAATTAGCGAAACCAATCGCGTGATCCGATTTTCTCGTTTGGCTGGCTGTTGCGGTTTCATCGACAAAAATATTCAAAGAGTCGATACCACGACTCTTTAAACCTTCGACTCATAAGATGAAAAAGAAGGTGTTACAATTGGTAGAATTGGAAGGGAAAAGTTGTCCGAGATTTTTCCTCCCCGAACCGTCTATTCGATTTTTCACAATAGCGAAGACACGTTCTTTTCGTCTCTTTCGTTTGAAAGGTGTGTTCACGCCGACATCCTTTTTTTTTTTTCCTTTTTCAAATGTCGCCACGGTAAACAACACAGATGGCTTTCTTCTTTTTCAAGAAATCTCGCCGCCGACGACGACGACGACGACGACGACGCATCGTTTGCATCTTCAATAATCCGACGAGTGGGAGAGCAGCAATGGCCAACCGCGCAGCCCCCGGTTGTCACATTCTCTGTTTCCGCCTCGTTACAGAGGGAGACGAGACAAAAACTTTCATCCAGTGGATCTTTTTCTTTTCCACCCGCGTCACCATCCCTTAGATAAACGTTTACTGGGGCAAAGTGAGCCACCATCCATAATTATTGTCCCGCATTGGTGAGAGGTCGACGCGTAATATTCGCGTCGCGTAAATTCGCCCGGGTTTATAACGGCGGAATGGAAATTATCGTGATTAATGACAGGCTGAGAGTGCGCGCGGCGCACGGTATTCGTCTCGACCCGCGTAGCCTCCTCTTGACTCCTTGACGACGTGCGCGTAAAAGTACCAAGAAATCGTGACATGGCGGAGCGGCATTCGCGTTTATTATGTGGAATGTAGGAAGGACGAAGTGGTGGAATATAATTTTTACGAAAAGGGGGAACTCGGCTCGATCCCGGATGATTCAATTCGTTCCCCTTTTCACCACCCTTTTTTTTTTTTTTTTAAGAGCGCGAGTCCTTAATTTCTCAACGCTTGAAAGAAAAACTTGCTGATATTTTACCACCGAAAGATGTTTAAGATAACGTTCGAACTTTCGACTCGCAGATTGAAAAAAAAATTAAGACGGTATTTTTCTTTTATTTCACTGTTAACAATTTTATCTTCGCGGACACGGTCACGACGAGTTTCATACACGACTCTTGCCGCGGCGAAGCAACGGGATGACAACTGGACAATCTCCGTAACGAAACTCGTTTAAACGTGCCGTGACTGGATGCACGAACGCGTGAATGCATCGTGTGCATAAAGCTTATGTATCACCGAGGTGGAAAGAGGTTTGAATCGGAAGGCGAAGGCGAAGGATCGGAGAATCGGTTCGTAGTTGGAACGTACGAAGAGGACGAAACGAGGTTTGATAAAGAAGAAGAAGAAGAAGAAGAAGAAGAAGAAGAAGAAGAAAAGGTTCGTAATAAAGAATTTTTTCGCCAACGATTTCGTGCGTGGAAAGTTGGTCGGTAACGTTTTCAGTTTCTTGCCCCTCGAGCATCGATTTTAATTGATTCGGGCCCTCGACGAGCATTAACGAAGTCCACTTGATTTACACGCCAGCTGCGTGTAGGATCGTTGCCGATATATACGCAAGCGGTACAAGGGAATTGCAAGTGTTGGCGCCGGCGTTTCCAATCTCCGTATCCTAGCATAGCATACGCTATTCCAACCAATGTTTTTTACCTCTCTCCAGGGAAAAAGCGACGCGATACTCTGCCGACCGTAAACACGAGAAAATTATCGTAAGCTCGGCTAAAAGGTGGCGGCGGCGGCGGCAATGTAATGCCTGCTTTCTCTCTTGTTTATGCCTTCTTCTTCTACTCGGTGCAAATGGGGGGGAAAAAACATGGCTAACGTAAAATAGCGTCGCCTGTTCGTTAGTCACGTTAGGAATAAATTTTCTACCCACCTTTTGACATTGAATCTTCGACTCTTTCTTTTACCCTTACGGATGGAACGGGACGAAAGGAGAAGTTCGTTTCGTTGATATAAATTATTTGCGAGAATCGCGAAAAAAGTGGTGTTCGATAGCCGACGAATTATATTAGGGGTGTGGGTCGATCGAAAATCGATGGCGTGGGTGTAGAAGACGAGATTGGAAGAGAGCGGTACAATTGATCGTACCTTGTTGTACATACAATGTTGCACGCACCGAGCCTTATGTAAGAAAGAAACAAAGGGAAAGGAAGAGAGAGAGAGAGAGAGAGATGGTGAAACAATGGACAGATCGGGGGAAGGGGTAGGATCGTAGAAAGCAAAATAAAGGTGCCAGGTAATGTGATATATGGGATCGATTTGAATCCAACGTTTAAGCCGCGAGCTATAATTCAATCTCAATCGTTTTCTTTTCTGTTCCTTCGTTTATGCGCTCTTTCCACCCGTGCCCGCGCTCTCTTTCTCGCCCCCGTGGTATCCCCCCAAGGGCACGCTCGATACTCGATATATACTTAGGTACATCCGAGCTACTCTCGTACTACCTGGTCGTGCATCTTATAATATATACGCGTATCGTGAATCGTTGACTCCTTAAAGTCTCGTTCACACCGTGTCTTGGATGATGGAGATATATTGGGCTACACTTTTCCACCTACGCAACGGCCTGCGCTATCTTTACATCGATCCGGCTGTTCTTCACGCTCCGATATATATTATCGCGTGTAACGAGTTATTGAATCGAACGGATATCCCGTTGAAATTGAATGGAATGAAACTTTATATTATTCACGAGGAAACGAAGGACGGATCGACGTCGATTTTAAACGCCATGAAAATTAATTTAGAATTCACAGAAGGGATAGCGATAAGATGCACGTTTCGAGAGGCGTTACACGCTCGAGTCTAACGCTCGAGACTCGTATCACACATGCATCCGCTTTTATGTAGAAACGTGCGTGTAAGAACGCGTGTCGAGTTGTCTCGGTTGGGGCATATAAGAGACGAAGAGCCGACGACATTGAGAGGGACTCGGAGGGTAGTCCGTCAGAGAAATAAGGTAATTAATATTAATGTAGATGGGTACGGTTGATGAACCGTAAAATTCGGACAGATTCGAAGACCGTTCCATTTCGGTTGATTAAAAGTTCCTTCCCTTTAAATTTACCTCCGTGCGAATTCTCGATACATCTTTTCGAATATTTCGATGCATATTATATTAAGGTCAACGCACAAGTTGAATAACTGGTTTCTTTTCTGCGTATTATATCGAGATTAAAATATTCCATCGAATCATTTCGCCATATACGAGAAAAACGTTCGATTCCATCGTATCGTAATTCAAATGTTTCCCGCTTAAAATTCAATACTCTCCTAGTTTACCTCGTACAATACAAATTTCCGCTTAAAGTCTCTCGTACGGTTTCTTAATAAGCGAAAAAAGTTACGATCAAGATGCTCGGGTGATCGCGAGTCACGCAAAAAATTCGAAATGTCCCGTGCAATTGCAGCCGTGTAACAGCGGTAATCAAGCGAATAATAAACGATGCAAAAGAACGAAATCTCTCCTTCTGTTTATAGGAATATCATCGTATCCCAAGGACAATGTCCAGGTACGTACTGATTCTCCGTACGCTATTTACGTTGACCGGAGAAGGGATTGACTCTCGGTAGTGGTATAGGGGATTTCGAGATTGGGAGAAAGAGAAAAAGGACGAGCCACTGGGAGGAAGGGAGAGAGCGAAAACTAGCGGCGGGGAGGGAGGGGGGAAGAGAGAGAGGACGAGAAAGGGACATGGGGTCCCGTATACGCTCGTTTCTGCAGAAGAAGACGAAGAGGAGAGGGTGGGGGGGTATTGGTACGGGAACAGCGCGGGCAGTGCACGCGCAGCCGCCGGGACGCGCGCATCCCGTGTGCATTCGCGCTCTTCCAACATCGCAGGAGGAGCCCGCGAAATCTCGATTAACTCGGCACTGTGCAACGTGCCTCGCGACCGTGGTGATCACCCTACGATATACCATTATCGTGAGTTATATTTTTCTTCATCCATAGTATATAATTCTTAATTCGCATCACCGCCATAATGACAAAACGAACGATCTGCGACAACGATTTGCGCAACGACGTGAAGTTGACAGCGGAGTTCGAGACCGGCCGGTACTCGATAAATTTCTCGAAAGTCGATCGCGATAATCGCAATGGAAATTGTCGCGTAATTGTAGTTGTTGTTTAATTACGCGAATTCGTAGAATCCTCGAAGCTAGATAATTCTCGGTATCGTAATATTATGTCGCAATTGACTTTCGTTCGCTGTGAAAGGTAAACAAAACATAACATTCGGTATCAACAAAACATACATTCTTTCGAAGGACATAACGTTCAGTGTGTATCGTGACTTCGGTGGATTCGGTCGTGTACGAACGAGTGGAGCGTATCGTTATTAAAATAATCGAATCGTGATTTCGTCGTGAATTTTTTCTATACCATGTGTTTTTTATTGCACGTTGCACCGAGTTGAGAGAAAGAGAAAGAGTTATACGTTATTTTAGGCGTGGATAATCGTGGCGAGTGAATAATACGCGAGTGTTACGAAGCATTTTCGTCAAAGCGTTACGTCGTAGTAAACGAATTGTCGTCTTCGCGTCGGAAAGATGATTATTTCTTTTTTTTCGGGCGTGAAGAATTAACGTTCGCGAATTCGAGAATGCGCTAGTGGAACCGGTTATATCGTGGGAACCGTGGCATAGAGCAGGTCCCGATAGAAGGAAGGAATCGAAATATTTCGAAATTCGTTCGTGACGAGGATCGCTGGTCGTTTTCGCGCGGCGATGAAGGGGGCGCAACAGGAATTTGACGGTTGTGTATGAAGTGTGACGGTAAAGTGCAATCGAACAGGTGCATCGAAACGAAGCGCGGCGGACAACGATGAATCATTGGAGGGTGACATTTCTTCGCGCTGAGTAACTGCGTCGTTCGTCTTCTACGACCGGTGAGTCTTTAATTTTAAATTTTAATTTAATTTTATTCGACAATTTAATGCTAGTTTATATTGCGTATATTCGCACTTGTACTACGTTTCGTTGATAAACAATGTCGTTGTTCCGATAGTTGGTCGTAAAAAATTTCGTTTACTGCGTTTCATTTCGCGAATATTTTCCATTTGAAACTATTATTTAGGATGTTTACATAAATTTTTATATACAGAGAAAGATACAGATATAAATATTTATTCGCGATTATGTTAACTTTTATACAAGTTTCGCATAAGATTTCCAAGAAGATCGTCGTGCGTAATTATCACACACATACACACATATATATATACATATATATATAAATTTTGCAATCGTGTTTAGTAATCGTACGTAGCAAAGTATATTGTTATAAGGGATCGTTGCAAAACTTATCTCCGTGTTTGGAACTGTATCCACTCGTTAAAAAGTATCGCGGATGAACATCCTCTGTTGCTTCGCGTCCTCTTACACGTAGTCGGTATCTTCACACTTGCCTTTCTTCTTTCACCACTTCTTTCTCTCTCCCCTCGCTCCCTCTCTCCCCGTTTCTCTTCCTCGCCTCTGTCACTGCCGCCTACCGATCCATTCGTTGTTTTTTCTTCTCAGAAGGGACTCGCCGAGTAGCGAGAATTAATGTCGAGTGCACAAGGGATTTCGAATCAGTAGCTATTTCCGCTATTGTCGCGATGGAGCGAATGCGTGCGTGCGTGCGTATGTGTATGTGTGTATGCGCGCGCGCGTTCCGACCCCTCGCCGTTTCCTTCGCGTTGGTTACACGTCTCGAACGCGATTTTTACATCGAGATACACGGGGAGAACAATAACGATGGGGCGGTGGTTAATATCCAAGGATGTAATTATTCGACGATAGAGACTAATAGAGCGTACACCGGTGCGCACGGTGGGAACCGGAAAGGAACAAAAACACGAGGGGGGAACAAAAATCCGGTGAAGGAAGGAAGGAGGCATATATCCGTGACACTTGGAGGACTGTCTCGTCCCCTTTAGGGGAAGGTTTTCTACTCTAATATCATCGAGATCTCCTCCTGTTTTTCGCAGTCTTCGCGTTGGTCGAGAGGGGTTCGTGTAAGAGTTGGCAAATGCGGAGAATACTCGCCGTATATCGTACTTCGATGCGAATCGAATGCGATCGAGTGTGCAAGACGAGGCTCGAAGCGAGCAGTTTGATATCCCCGGTTCGAGAGATAAGTGCATAAGAGATGAGAGGGGGGGGGGGGGGAAAAACAGAATTCTGCACAGACCGAGGAGAAAGAGATCGAAAGAGTGTGTGTCGCGTCTTGAAGATTAAACTCGTTACATTCTTCTCCCGAATCGGAAATCGAATTCTTCGCTTCTTTCTAGATAACATGGAAATCGCGTGACATGGAACAACAAACGTTTAATTCGTTGAATAGCGGGAATCGATCGCATGAATATATAAGTCGTTTGGACGGTCGATGCGTGACCGTTTAACCAAACCTGTGGGGGGAAGGGGGCCTCTATAGTTGCCTTTTCGCCCCCTGATTCGAACTCTGTCGCATATAAAACAATATTGGCTCGGTTACGTCAATGGCACCAATGTTTATAACTAATTACCGGTATCAGGGAAACGCGAGCGTGTCGAACGAAGACGAGAGACGTTCGTTTGAATAACATTTGGCCGGGAACTAGGCGGGACATAACGGAACGGAGGAAGAGAGAGAGAGAGAGAGAGAGATGTACCGAGAGACGGTGAATTAGATGACGAGGGGGGTGGTAAAGGGGAGTTTCATTTTGAACGAGGAGGCATTCTCTGCGTTCGTCCGAGCTCGATCTAAACGGGCAATATTAGCTATTGACTTTGGCTCATGGGGTTTGTCGATGGTCGGCTAAGTGATGGCGTTGGTTCTGACCGTTTGGTACAGGGAAAATTTCGATCCTGTCTCCTCTTTGCGATTGATCGTTTACGAGGAAGGGACAAATTTTCACGGTAAATAAAAATGATGGAGTATCGACGAGAATAAACGCGTATAATCTTTTTTTTCTTTCTAACATTTATAATTTTCTTTATAACATTTAATAATAACATTTCGAACTCGATCATTCTTCTTTTCTTTTATTTTATTGGCTAATAAAAAAAATGGAGAAAATTTCTCTCCCTCGTCGTAATAATACGTGTCTTCGAATAAACATTGTTAAACTCTCGTGCCCGAAGCGCAAGATGCTTGGCTTCGTTCTCACCGGAATCCTCACAAACGCGACTAAGGCACAGTTTCTCGCTCTTTCCGTGCTACTTTTCCTTCCCTCCCTCCCTCGTTATTCGATTTGGTTTAGCGTTACGACTGTCGCTACAGCTGTCGACCTGTCTAGGGTTCACGATCCGTGTGTTGCTCGCCGATGTTCGTGACCTATCCACAAAGCTTTCCGTTGGGGTTCACGGACGCTCGTAAAACTTAACTCGTGGTGGGTAGGTGCGCGTACGCGTTTTCATGTTCTTGCTCGTAGCAGTTTGTCTCTTTCGAATGGCATCTGGTATAAATGGAAGTTTCTTTTCGAACCGACTTTTGTCCCGGAGTTTCGTATTCATCTCGTATGCCTGGCTCCGCCTGAGAGGGGGGAGGAGAGGATAACTTTGTCGTTGGAGAAAAGATCTCGCGATAAAATCTCGCCTTTTATTTATTTATTTATTTTCGACACAGGACAGGGTATTATTTCGAGGATCATCGAGTAAAATCGATGACGTTTAAAAAGTTAATATCCGTTTGAATTTTCACTATGAGGGCGTAATGATTGTTACACAGTGTACCCGTATTCGAGACGTTTGAGGAAGGTTTTCAAAGATTAGCGGCTCTTTGAAAATTATTACTCGCACGACAAATCTTAGTTCCCCCTACTCCCTTTCGTCGTTTCGCTCGAGGATGATTAGATCTCGAGAGATTTCATTCCGAATATTCCTTCGATTTCGATGATAGAAGAGATCTAACGGTTCGACGTCATATTTTCGAAAGCCCGAAAATTATTCATTTCCCCGCGCGTAATTTGGCTTAATTTAATCGCGAACGAAGGCTCGCGTTCGCCCAGATTCTGGATCCCCTCCTGCCCTCGGTTTATCTCCAACGGTAATAACCCTTTATGGATTTCGCAGACTGGCTTAATATAAACTGCGATTTAATTGCCGAGCCGGCCGATAAATCATGTATCGGCTATAAATTTGCAGAAGGCCTTGGCAGCAGGGCGCCGGTTACGCGGTTACGTTGTATCACCCGACGATAAAAGTAATGGAATCTTATCGATGGTTAGAACAATAATAATTCACGGGTAACGTTAAGCGCCACCCACCTCGTTTGTGTTTCGCCGTTTATCGCCGTATAAATCCGGATAAAATATCAACGGGAGAATAATATTCTCGGGAGAAGTGGAGCGCGGAATAAGCGATTTGGCATACCGTCGTGACCGAACGCGCGGTGAATCATTGATTCGATTTCGAATACTTGAATCCCGGGACGGTCGGTGCCAACAAGTAATAACCGAGTCGCGTACTTGATTAAATTTATCCCCTGTTATTGATTATCCTTTCACGAGGATAATGGAGATCCGAGTTTTATCCGTTATCGTCGTCTCATCTTCGTGTTATCGTTTTCGAACGTTTTTCCCAATTGCTACATTTTTATCGATAAATCTCGCGATGTAACGTACGATCGAAGAGGCAAGTTGACCAGAGCGAAGAGGTGGTTAACAGAAAGAGAAGGTTGAAGGGTTCGAGAGAATACCGTAAATTCTAAAGCCAGTTTAGCTACCTAACCTAGCTACCTAACCTAAGCATCAGTTTGAATATCGGTCGGCGCTACTACCACTCGTCGGTCGTAGCGGCAATTTCTTCCCTCGAATCCGCGCCAACTGTTGGGTCATCGACCCCACGAGCTACTTTGCGAGTCATCGATTTACGGTTTGAAAAAAACCGCTCAAAGTAGATTCGTTGCTAATTAAGAACGGGAGTTAGCGTTAGCTCACGAATAAGGGGCGGTAATACCGTCGCCGAGAAGAAGTCGCGCTGCACACTTCGATCCCGCACGCATCGAGGATCGAGTGGTCTCGTAATTCTTTCGATAAATCGCGCCGAGATACGAATCGACGAATCGATATTTTTAACGTCGTTAAACTACGATTAAACCCCTCCCCCTCCCTCTTCCCTTATAATAAAAAGAGCGCGCAAAAGAAAAGAAATAAAACCGAGTAAGTTTCGCTCATGGAGCGGAGAGAAGGAAGAGAGACGAGAGAATCGTGAGAGAATCCCGTTAATAGTTGGGTTACTATAAGGGGCGATTAGGCATATGCGATCCTTATTATCCGTTGCATCGGAACTGGAGCCGGAACAACAACACTCGTGGCTGGATATAAAAGAGCGAACTCGAACGAATCGACACCATCTGGTGTACCTGAGTGGCTGCCGCATTACCCTTGAAAGCTCACCGCTCTCGAGTGACGCGGCTCTCCTATGCCGCGGGTGCATTCATCGTGTAATTAACGTCTCGTAATTATGGCCGCGGAAGAGGAGAGAGAGAGAGAGAGAGAGAGAGACGTCTGGTGGTCGCGCGTGCGCAGGCGCCCTCCGAGACTGCTCCTGGATATTACGAGCTTTCATGGGGCTCCACGTGAATAAGGCGCTTCTGAAGAGGGTGTTACGAGCATTATGGACCTCTCGACGATGGACCAACGAGTGTTGGTCAACGAGCCGTTCATCGCTCGCTCAAGGTGCAACGCGTCTTAGCCACTCTTTGACGACTAGCTACCCCCCTCTCTTTCCCTCTCTCTCTCTCTCTCTTTCTCTCCTTTTCTCCTCCTCTCTCGCGGCGCGGCCCGAGGACCTGAATCCGTATCGCTCGTCCTCGCCGTGCGCGCCTTTATATCTTTCCTCGATTCAGTAGCACGCGTCGTCGATGCACGTGAATACCGAAACCATTTCCGACACAGGGAATTTGTTAAGCTTAGCTTAGGAA